GTTTAATCATTATAATTAACAAGATTGTTAATTTATTCTCTGATAATATACTTTTCCTTTACTTTTTATAAATAACATTTCATTAAAAAATAATTCTTTCATTAATTATAGAATTAATTATTAAAATTCGTATAAATTGTCTAAAAATTTTTTCTACTATTTATCCTTCTAATCATATTATCACAAAGTTTTATTTTTTATATTATAATTTTTTTTTACATGTTTATGAATACTTTTTAACTTAATTAAAAAAGAATTTAAAATACAAATACAAAAATATATTTACATTAAAAAATAGCATGACAATTATACGATTTAGTATTAATATTATTTTCATCATTAAACATAAAAGAATATAAAGAGTTATGTAATTATAATTTTCCTCTTCATGTATATAATTTAATTATATTATTTAAGTCAAAAATATATAATATTTTTGTTTATTAAAATTTTAATATTTTCAAAATATTATTAATGCATATAATTCTCTTTTTTCAAATTATATAGCTCTAATAAAGTATTTTTAATTTGAGATGCTTTATTTGTTTATAAAATAAAACATTTTATTTTAAATTCTGAAATTTTTACTATCTGAAGGACTATAATTTGGTATAGGGAATCAGAAATTTACATTATTTATAATAAATTTATTCAGTTGCATTACATTTAAATAAGATAAAGAATGGAACAAAACAATTTAATAATAAAACTTGCTTACGCACATTTTAATAAATATTATTCTTAATAAATATAACAAATAAAGACAATCCAAAAGAGATACATGAACTACATGACACAAGAATTCTTTGGTTAACTTTTGATTTGTTTGATAATATCAAAAATAAAATATGAGAGTCATTGAAAATCAAAAAATCAATTAATAGATTTGGATGTTTTGCAATTAATATTGTGTATTGAGAGTATCATTTATTCAGTGAAGAATTTATTTCTGTATTTTAAAATGATGCTGTCAATACTGCTAATAATAAATATGAGTATATAATAATATTTTTATTATAAACTCATAATGAAAATAAACATATTGAACATTTTTTGAAATGAAAAAAGATTATTGTGAGTTGATATATGTGGCTGATGAAATTATCAAGAATTATATTATATATTAATTCCTTGGTAATTTCTCATATTTTATAGTGATTATTCTGGACAATAACATTTAATGATCTATATAAAATCTAAGTTATTATTATAATTTATTCTTTTAAAAATTATTTTGTAAATTTAGAAATAATAATCATTGTATAGTATAGATTATGCAAAATTCGTAAATGCATATATTATATGTTAATTATAAAACATACTACAAAGTTAGTAATTAGCAAAAACATTGTTCTATGTTAATCAAAATGAAATATGTTAATATTTATTGATTACTATATTATTAAGAATTGATTGGCGTTAACAAAATATAAAATTCTTCAATTAAACAAAGAAAATTGTTACATAACAAATGAGATTATTAAAAATATTCGCGATTAATCTAAAACTCTAAATTATTATCTTTTGCCAGTGCCAAAAAAATCATATAATATGTATACATGTATAATCATATTTGAATATGTACAAATACATGTACACATGTAAAAATATCAATGTTTCATTAATTATTGAGACTGGTGCGAGATAAATGAAAGAATGATAAATTTTATTTCACATGTATTTTGATTCAATAGTCTTTATCAATATTTTATTATAATATTTATATTATTTAAGAAATTTTCTGTAGTAGATATAACTTTGAAATTTTTTTGCATATATATTGTTATGATCTGTTTTTTATTTATAATTATTTATCTAGATAAATACGCATAAATATGCACAGTGCAACAAAGTATAATACTTTGTTTATAGAGATTAACGTATTTTTAAAAATTGAAAACTTCATAGGGACCAGTAATAATTTTTTTAATTATTCATATTGCTGTTTTCTACCTCTTTTAATTTTCCAACTATGTCTTCTAACTTTTTACGTTGTATATTTTGCTTCATTTGTTTGTTTTTATCTTGTGCAAAACATTGAATATCCATTGTTTTTACATAATGTAGTATAGAATTCCTTTTAGCATAGGAATGAAAAAATGATAAAATATAGCATCTAGTACAAAGAATTATATAAAGAAGAACAAAAAATAAAATACTTATAATAATAAATATATGATTAGGAAACTTACTTTTTGTTTGTTGAAATTTGAAATGGAAACTAAAAGAAGATAAATTGAATAAAACAACTAAATAATCACAAATATTTATATGTTTAAAGAATTAAATATTTAATGTTTAATTATGTCTCACTTGTTGTGGATGTCTTAATTGTTTCATAGTAAGATGCTTCCAATTGTTAAATTTCATCCATGCACATGAAGTATTATATATATTTGATAATTCAGATTGTGCCATAGTATGTACTGCAAATTGTGGATTTATAATTAATGGTTCATGTTGCAATAATTCTTGTTGATATGAATGATTGGAATAATATAGATCGTATTTGGTAAAATTTTCTACAGATGATATTGCCAAAGAATTTGCCACTGCCACTAAAAATAAATATGTAT